AGTTCTGAGCTGTAACAGGTTTAGCATACATTTGAAGAAGATTATAAGAAATTGTCAGGACTGTGTTTTGATTTTTCCCCCCCAGATATTGAGAAGGAAATAAAACCCTGCACCTTTAATAGTAATGTGGTATGTGACTGTAAGGATGGATACTACAACTCAAACCCTAATCCCCATATAAGGAATTGCCAAACATGCAATCTACAAGATGTGGAGGTAGGTGACGCCATCTTGACTACCAGCAAGATCCACTTATTCAGCATGATAAAAACACTCTCAAAGGGAGACCATATCATGTTTCAGAATATTCACATTCACCCTCATATTTTCTTTTTCAGTGTCTGTTAATAATGAGGACTACAAAAGGAAGTGCAAGCCCTGCCAAAAACAAAAACTAAGACATGTTTAGATTTTTTTGTGAGAGAGTGGGAAGCCACACAGAACTGTAAGGGAAAAATCAATCTGCGTACTGTAGTGATAGCTCCCACTAAGTCTTAGGAGCTAGAGAAGGTTTTCATTTGGCACCTTGCAGTATGTTTTTGCCATTATGTTCTTTTTAGGGGTGTCTGATTCATTATTATCCCTATTTCTTGATCGTTCTATTTGTCTTAGTTGCTATATTTGCCTTTTACAATATGTTTTTCATATATATATATATATTTTGTTTCTCTTTCTGTTGGAGAAGCTCTTCTAGCATCTGATTTGCTTGGTGTGGTAACTTTATTTTAGACTACAACATCCTTTTAGTCTGATTGTGTCAGGTCTTCAGACAGTGGTAAAACACATTTTGTGAAACTGTTGATTGAAAATGCTGATGAGCTAATTTCAAAAACAGATTGAAAACACTGTATATAATTTTTATTTTTTTCTGTGTTGGCAGCCATTGTTATTAAAATTAGAAATTTTGTTGACGGTATACCATTATCTTTATGCATTGATACATACTACCTGTAGATAAAACAGTTTGCTTATTATTGATGATTTAATGAATGATGCTCGTAATAACAATGAGGTCCAAAGTGTGTGTACAAAATATGGGCACCATAGAAATTTCAGAATTTGTATCTCAAGGCAAAATTAGCCATACTATTAATTTGAATACCGTTTATCTTGTTTTGTTTAAAAATCCTAGAGATAAATACCAGGTCTTGCTTATGGTTAGACAAATGTTTCCTGGGAAGAGTCATTTTTTTTATGGATTGTTTCGATGATTTACGAGTGTTCCTTATGGTTATTTGATGATTGATTTGAAAGCTAAGAAACCTGATGATTTCAGACTCAGAACTGACTTGTTTTCAGACATGTCTGTTGTGTATGTGCATAAGAGAAAGTAAATAAACACGCCTGATGGCATTAATGTCCCTGCCTTGCCTTTTCTTTCTAGATAAAATCTTTTCCATTTTAAATGTTTTGTTTTTATCTATAATAACTTTTTGCATCTCTTGCTCATAAAATGTTCCCTGTAATATTTCGCCATCATAGTCTTTTATCCTGTAAACAGGAGGGTCCCTTGACACGCATTCCTTTACAGTGAAATTTTATCAGTATAATTTTGCTCTACCTTTTTTTTTTTTTTTTTTTTAAAGGGCTGCGTAGTTTTGAAATTCTTACAGTATCGCCCACCTTATATTTAAAACAAATTACTCTTATCTTTTGTTTTATTCAAGTTGTTAAATACATCAATCGGTTTCATTTGAATACTATGATGATAACTATGATTGTAGGAGGTGACTAAATCCTGCAATATATCTACGTATCGTTTAGAATTATTGGCTGTTAAATAACGCCACATTTTAGATTTCAGAGTCCTGTTGAAGCGCTCTACTTACAGATGCCTTAGTCTCATTGGATGTGGTAAAGTGTACGATACTTTTCCCTCATCTGTTTGGATTTTATGCGGCATTCTACCTTCGTCTAAAATATCTTTAAAGGATGCTGTGACGCATTTACCACTCTTAATTTTTTAATATAAAAAGGTTTAAATTTCCTCTTGATATATTTAAGTATTATATTCTGTATACTGTAAAACATGTAAGCTGTCTTGCCAACCGCCAATAAAAGAATAGCAGAAGCTTTCGCCGTGGAAGATACCGTTGTAAAGTATAGCTTTAAGATTACTGTTTGACAACTTTATTCAAGTTTGTACTAGTTCAGAGTCATTCGTCTGTCATTTTGTAGATTGGCTAACCTAAAGTTGTTCTTTACAACTCAATGCTGATATGAAGTAAAGGGTTTGAAAGCTAACACACTTTTTATGGCGTGGATACCTGGCAGAGTTAATACAGCATCTAATTCGCCCTAACTTTACTAACGTTGTCATTCTGGCATCAAGTGATGCCAATCAAAGCTTTATATCGGTCGTGACAGTGACTGTTAATTTATTAACGATTGAGATGTTTTCTGTTTGTGTGATTTCTCCCATTGAGTGCTTTAAATTATGTATCGTATCATATTATGTATAATATCATCTGTTGTGTGCACTTCTCTTTTTCCAGGATAGACACGTCTTTCTCTTTAGAGAAGCTTTGTGGTTTAATGTAAAATACGATAGGACAGTTCACAGTGCTTCAAAGATCTATATTTGGTTTTCTCAATCAAAAACAGATTTTAAGACTTCTGTATTTCAAAAAGAATCAGCTAGGGCAAAAAATGTTCTCATTTAAAAAAAAAGTCTAATATCATTCAGCATCAATAATTATCATGAAAAATGTCAAATTCTTTCAAGTTCAATTTCTATCAAAGCTGACCTTTGCTTCTAATTGAAAGTTGGAAAAAAAACCATATAGTTTATTGTGGTTTTAAACTTTTCTTTATGGTCAGTACATGACAAGAACCTGTTAAACGTCAACAATTATGATCAAATCTTTTTCCAAAAAATGTAAGTGAAGGTAGGCATTAAAATAATTCAGGAAAAATGTATGCACACCATGGACTCCAAATAATAATTCTTGTGAAAGCAATGGTTTGATCCGATCTCATAGATCAAAACACAGAGATGGGGACTCGGGGTTAGAGACTCGGACTGAAGTGCGACTTAAGTCGCACACACAGTGACTTTAGACTCGAGGCGCGGGACTCGTGAACAATGTTTATTTTTTAGGACACGTCTGATGAGCTTGCCGTTATTCTGTTACCTATAACCTGCCTACGTAACACGTAACATCTGCTGCGCGCGACCGTACGTGAGAGAGGACAACAAACACCGGCAGCTGCTGAGCCAATCATCATAAACTTTGGCTTTAAAACATCATAAATGATGGCCCAAACAAAGAACCGCTAAATGCAAATATGTGGTGAGTGAACATGTTGAGCTCAGCATTGGCCATCTAACGTTAGCTTGCTTCTTGCTTCAGCTACGAGCTACGGGGAGGTTTACTCTGACTGTCATTCTTTATGAAAAGATGAACGAGCATTTGTTTACTTGCCAAACTTGTGGTGGTCGATTAACGTAATCATTGACGTCCTGCAGGCTGCCATCACGTTAATTACTGCCGTTGGCTGGAAAGAGGTTACAGGTTTATTGTTGATCATGTAGCCTAACCCTACAGTTTTATTTAGTTATCGCCTAACATTACACTGGTTTGAGAGTCTGCAGGGTGTGTTGACTTAAAGTAGTTTATAAGTGCTATGGTGTGGGGACAGAGTGGACCCAAACGCAACACTCGGGAAACACAGGCTTTATTAAAAGGTGTGACGCCCTGTGGGGTCATGAATGAGTGTGGCCTGTCTCTCTCTCTCTCTCTCTTGTGGAGGAGGAGCTGATTGCAGTAACTCTGGGCACCTGGGCTAATTGCCCTGTAGAGTATTTGGGACTGTTTTCTCATTCTGCAGGGAGCTGCTGTCAAGACCAGATCAGATCTACCTGCGGCCGGCTCCCTGGTTTTCCATTTAGTTTGGTTTTCTTTGGTTGGACTATTGCTTTGTGGTGCTTATCTTGTTTTGCATATTACAACACCTTCACACATACATTCATGCAACCATCATCCTGCACAGACACTACTGAAACCACAGACTACATAACTCATACTTTAATTATGTTAATTTGAAGTAACAATTGATTTGGTTTATTTTCATTAAATAAACATACGCTAACTGTTTACCATGGTGCGTCTCCCTTTTGTTGTCGCCTTTTGAGCCAGGTCAGAACAAAGGGGAAACAGGGTTGAGGGAGTGGCGGATGCCGGGGGAAGGCACGGAGAACTGAGGGGACTGAGACAAGGGAGCCGGGGGCACTGGGGACCGAGGAAGCAAGGAGGCGCCGGGAGGATGCCGTAGAAGAGGAGGGCAGGGTGGTGAGCCCAGCTGACGGAGCAGAGGATGGAGGTGAGACAGACAGGGTTAGACACAGCGGAGACAAAGCATAGGGAAACAGATATGATGCAGAATACGAGAGAGCTTGAGTGGTGAAGTGGCACCGGGTAAGGATCAACGACGATCAAGCAGGGGTTGGCTGGAGAACCGGGGTAGAAGTACTGTCGGAGATGAGGCTGATTGCTGGCAGGTGTGGCAGGCAGAGGAGGTGGCTGACGAGATGCAGGTGCGGGTCGTTGGCTGGGCTCAGGAGCGGAGGGAGAGAGAGAGAGAGAGCACATGCAGGGGAGGAGACACAGGGAGGCCGGCAGAGTACAGGAAAAAAACAGAACAGGGGAAAGCAGAATCAAAAGCAAAAAAAGGAGAAATAAACAGGACACTCGCCCTCAGCTGGGTTGCCACCACAACAATAAGCTGTCATTAACTGCATTGCACATCACATGGTTGTGCTCTGTAAATTAAAAATAATGTTACAGCTTTATTGTTGACCATGTAACTTTACAGTATTGTTTAGTTAACTTTACACAGGGTTTGAAACTCAACAGGGTTTGTTGACTTACAGTAGTTTATCAGAGCAATGAAGTTTTATTAGCAACCTGGATTGAATGCAGCAGGTGATAAAACATTCGTAATAACCACGAGAGACTTGAGACCTGACTTGGACTCTAGCTCAAAGACTTGTGAGCATCTCTGTCAAAACATTGCCTTCAATACAGTTTTATTAGGAGTTGTTGAGACGGTGTGCAGAGCTTTGTCCTTTGTGTCCTGCAGTGATAGTTTTTGTCTGTCACTCGATTACTTTTGACTGGATGTGCACACTTAGCCCCTCTGGAGGTTTTATACCAATAACAACCATACAAATAATTGAAAACATTTTGTATAGAACCTTTTCACACAAAAAATTTAGCTCAGATCAAATCACAGATCACAATTATGTGAAAAGTAGTAAAACTTGTCAACATAGAGTGTGTAAGATTCTTAATGCTATTTAATGCAGTGAAGGCTGCATGTTCTCTAGTTGGCTTGCTACTGTTTATATTATCAACAGCACTCTTTTTCATGCACAGACAGACACAACAACATACTAAGACACTGTGAGGACAACATTTACAGAGTTTTTGTTTTCTTTTAATCACAAGGAGAAGGAGTTGAGGATGACTCTTTAACTGATGAGGTTCATCCAGTAAGGTCATGAAAGACGGGAAATCCAGAGACCTGGAACTTTAACATCCAGAAAAGTAGGAGAATGAGGGGCCTGGATTGAAGAAGGTGAGACAAATGGGGACACCATGCCAGTCCGCAACCTGCCAAAGGTTCCCTAAACTCCACTGCAGAAAAGCAGAAGACGCATCATAAGAACAAGATTTCTAAGTATTTCTGGGGGAATTTGGACTGGAGAAATGATTGTGAAGTCTGCGGCGGAGGGGTGCAGTGTAAAGCGGCGCTGGACAGGAGCAGATGAATCCAGGAGGTCAGCATCGATTTTTTTGTCACCTTGTAGTAGATTGGAGAAGAATCTGAGTGTGCCAACGCTTCTTCCTGTCAACATTAGGTGTAAAGGAGTGGTGTTTTTTGAAGTGGGCAGGAAGAAGAGGAGAAAGTCATGAGAAGATTGAGGACGGGAACGGAAGGAAAAGGTTCTTTATTGTCACATACACATGGTGAAATTCATTCTCTGCATTTAACACTCATTGCCTCAAGAACCTAATCTAAGATGTTTTTGATGGTGTGGAAAACTGGAGCGCCCACACAGGAAGGAGGAAACCCACACAGACACAGGGAGAACATGCATTCTCCACACAGAAAGGCCTGGGATGACGGGTACGACAATGAGACCTTCTTGCAGTGAGGCCACAGTGCTTTCTGTAGGCCTTCCATAAGATTTTTCTTCTGGACCCTTGGAAAGTTCTATCGCACTTCTGTAGGTCCTCTTCATTGAAAGGTGTACCTGGAGCTTGTAATCAAGTCCATCGGTCACATGCACACCGATTATAAGCCCTCTTGCAAACAGCCTCTGTCAATGTAAGTTTTCTCAAACATTTTCAGTGACTTATATATATATTTCCCTTTCACTTAAAGAAAGACCAGTGTGATGGCTATTGTTCATTCAAGCCTGGAAACATAGAAGCTGCTTCATGGGACACAAAGGCTGTGAAGAAGGACAAAGAAGATGCAGATGAGAAGACCTTGGTGGCGCTCACTCCAATTCCTCCGTGTGAGGTACGTATCTTCAAGGACTTCAGCCAGATGGGAAACTGGGGAAAAAGCTTGGGATCCAACCTTGCATGACCTCCAAACTATCAGACATATATATTCTTGCACAAATATTGCCTTCTATGTCAATAGAAATCAGTTGTGAAAAGTAGCTAAGTACATGCGCCCAATTACTCTTCTTTTTGAGGTACTACTCCACTACATTTATTTTGACGGCTTTAGTTACTAGTTACTCTGCAGATTAGTTTTTGATGTTTTTAATTGATAGAGTATGATGTATTTTCACAGATAAAGCCACACAGCAAAATATAAAGTATTTAGAATTAGCTTTACTTTTTATTTTAAAATTTGAATGTAGGACTTTCAACACAGAGAATATCTCTACAGTGTGGTGTTGGAACATTTACCTAAGTTTTATTCATTAACCACTGTGGAAGACATAATTTGTAATCTATTAAATTCTGTCCCTCTTTTCCCTTTTAAATTCTTCCATCCAACTATCCACTGGATACAACATGGGTGGCACCATTCAGATGACTGGGAAGCCTATCTGTCCCCAACTCTTAAAAGAAGAATATCACCACAGCAGCCCCACTGTGCACATCCAGCCAGCCAGTTAAAGAGCTGAAGTTCAAACAGCCCCGAGAACTAAAGGTTTTGCCTTATGGACTGGACCACGAGTGATGCCCATCACCAGCTGGAGCCTCACGCAGACGCACACACACTGATGTACATAGGCTATATTGGTTACAGATGATTACTTTTTTAATACCGTTAATGGTGTTAATATAATCCCTAATTGTTCAAATTATTAAGTCAAATATCTAGTAGTAGTAAAGACTCCAATCAATTGTCTCTCACAAATAGTCTGACAGATTCTTTATCCTGGTTGTTCATAATTATAATAAAATTTAATATAATTTGTGATGAACTTTTGAATGTTGTGTGGGTTACAGTAAAATTAATTTTAACCTTTATTTATTCAACCGATTTCATTTTGTCATTATCAGCCAACATTATTCACAATGTAAAGGTAGCTTATCGATGATTAACATGATTTCAAAACACACATCTTATTATTTAGCTTAGGTATCATCAGAAGGTATGCTTTCAACAAAGAAACATCCGCCTGCTCCGGGATGCTACGAGCCTGGAGATCGATGATCGCTTCTCTAATGTCTTTATTGTCTGCCGAGAACTGTGTCATTCCCATAGACTGTATATAAGAAATGGACATAGTCATCGTGACGTCACCCATTTGTTTGTGGACTGCTGTTTTGAAGCCTCGAGTTTGGCCGATAGGGCGCCGCCATGTTGAGTTTTTGCAACCAGGAAGTGCCCAGAAGTGACAATACGGCGGAGCTAACGGCCGTGTGCGGAGCTAGTTAGCTTGCTTAGCTAGGTGCAACTGTAACTAACGTTAACTGCCATTTTTACAGGGCTGATAACTTTGTCTACCGAACAACAGTCTTAAAACTAAATGTACTCACCAGAAAAAGTGAACAGCCAACTCCTAATAAGCTTTTTCAGCAGCGCTGGTTAAATTTACACAGTGCCGAGGGTACGAGTCGGCTTTAGCCTGATTGACAGGTCGTCATGGTAACAACTTGTCAATCACAGATAATCCCGTCCTGAAACATACTCTGTTTGTGGTCTATTTTAAAATAAATGGGACCATAATTTACTAAATGAACATAATTTGGTATTGAGAAAGACTTGAAACTAACTGAGACCATAAACCCGTCAGAAAAGTATTTACTGAGGTAATTATTCAGCTGAGAAGTAGGGTCTTTTTCCCATTATTTCTAATGGAGCCAGACTTCTTTTTGCAACCAGAAGAGTCGCCCCCTGCTGGATTGTCAATACAATGCAGGTTTCAGGGGCTTCTGCATTGGTTTCAAATTGTAGACCTGAAGCTTCCTGCTTGATCATTCCCTCCGTGAGGGATTTAACCGAACTCAAGGGATTCCCGCAGAGCCTGAAACTCTTTGTGAAGTACTTATGCAAGAAATAATCGGGCATCAAAACTAGACAATTTTTGTCTATTGAATCCAGAATCTCTGTGAATTCTGCACCTTGTGAGGAGGCGGGGGCGGAGTTAGACTGTCAACACAGTGGGGGCGGAGTTTCATCGTGGGCCCACCTGCTACAAAGACATATTAACCAAGTTTACATAACCCCAGACTCACTCCGAAAGTCCACAGAGTCTGTCTGCTTCGCTGCTGCTGGAGCATCCATTTTACTAAATGTTTGTGCTTAGACCAGAAGCGCTGCATTTCATTTCATTTCATTTCAAACCATGTAAAAACCACAGAAATATGTTGTCAATATTCGATTAAGCCACTACTCCGGCTAAATCCATTTTCACAATCTTTCCTGAGCATACTACCAGACCAGCCATATATATATAATTACAATTACTATCAATATATCTCTAAAGTGCTCATTCATACAGTAGCCTAAAGCCTATCCATGAGTAAAATCTATATATTAACATCAGATTTACAGGGAATATATTGAAGTAAAAAGCTTGACATACTAGATGAATAAAACACACTCTTATTAAAATTTTACAAATTTAATATTCTCAAACACTGCAGGTTGTTCACCAGTGAGGAGCGGTGAAACAACAGCACAGCTCTGTCAATAAATAAAAAGTAAAAGTTAAGTTGCGTTCTCTGGCGGACCGGATCAGCTGTTTGCGGTAAACAAACCACAAGGCTAACGCTAACGCTGCTATGTGGCTGTGTTTTAATGGTTTAATGTCCGGGTCCGTTTGTTTTGGAGAGGAGACGACCTCTGTGGTAATTCAGCTCCCGGTAGAACTCTGTCAGGGCTCTGAAGTGGACCCAGAACAACTCTCATCAGCTGTTGGCTGTAAACACTAGCAGGACTAAAGTTACGGTGCAGCTGTGTTAAAACTATAACTTAGCACAACATAACTGCACTGTAATAACTTTATGCTTTATTAAATGTCACAAAATATCAAAATAGATATTATATATATGTCAGTCCAGTGACTGTTACCTGACAACAGACCTGCCTCTCATTCCCCGGTGCTGGCAGTAAGTCTGCCTGCCGAGTGGAGACAGACTCCGAGGACCCATGTGAGCGCTGAGCAATTAGTTCATTCCTGCTCCACAGTAGCCGAGATGTCACATGAAAAATGTACGACTCAAACCCAGAGACCCACATTTATGAGTCCTGAACTAATCAATTCTGTTTCCTGTGCTGCCTGCTTACCACAGCCCTGTAGCCGAGCTGTCACATGACAAATGAACGACTCAAACAGACCCACAGTTATGAGTCCTGAACTAATCAATTCTGTTTCCTGTGCTGATGGAGCTCATGCAGCTGCTGTGTAACGTGACTATTCACGCATGCGTGAAAATGAACGAATCACTCACTGAGACAACCCGTTCCTCCTGAGTCACATACAAGATTAGGTCAAATGAAAGAAACGTTCTTTGAACAGTTAAGTTAAAAACTTAAGTTAAATAAAAAGGATATTAAAAAAGTAACAAAAAAGTGTGGATTAAAACTGTATAAGAGTCCGGTTTAAGGCGGCGCTTCCGACAGGTGGCTACAGACGCCAACGCATGCGCAGAGTACAGATTACGTCACTGCAAATCTGACTAATATTTTACTCATGGATAGGGACATGCTGCCCCCATGCACCCACGCTACCTCTACTTAGGATGAGCAGTAAATGTGTCAGCACTTTGTAGACCACTTGTAAATAAAAGTTTAACGACAGTAATCAGACTATGACAGGTTTATATTAATTCCTTATAAAGTCTAATAGCTCCTTTATTATGCACTTACTAAACATTAACAATGCTCCTTTACAGCTACTGGAACTAAAGTGGAAACAGTGTTTTATTAAGACGAGTAAATAATCAAAAATAATTAATAAAAGAAAAAATAGAAAAAAGTTAGCATTTTATTAGTGAAGGACGATATCACACTAAGACAGTGGTTCTCAACCTTATTTGGGCCAGCGCCCCTCTTTCCATTATCCATGTCAGGTGGAAATGTTTTTAATTGTATAAAGGGAAACACAAAATTGAGATGGCAGGTGACAATTCAAAATATAGATAATAGAATATATTCTAGTGAGTTTCTCCTGTAGATCAACTTATTTAATATGATCCCTGTCGAGTCTCCCACTTTAAATCTCAGTGTGGCTCCTTTTCATCTCAGCGCTTAATTTATTCATTTTAATTCAGTTATTGATTGGACTTTAAAAGCTCATCTTTTTAGAAGGTTTTCTGCTCATGTTCAAAACTTTCTGCACTTTCAGAATCGCTCCCACATTTCTGTGTTCTCTGACAAAAAAAGTCATAAAATTCTGAGACAAATGTCACCATTTCATGAAAATTTTGCTTCGCTGGTAGACCTCTGGACCGTCTCACAGACACAGAGCAGGATGAGACGAGGAGGTGCTCATGCCAGGGGAAAACGAAACTTAACTGACTTGTGATCAGGCAGGAATCTCACCGCAAAGCCACACACACATTTACTTCAGAAGCTCTGATTATGTGCAGCTCACAGTCCGAAACGCAAGTTATTACTTAATTTTTTTAAAGGAGCAAAGGCTAGGGCCATTTATGCAAATCAAATTCTGCTATTATACTAAAAATGTTCTATACATTTTTCATTTCCACGACATTAAGGGCTTTTGTATACAAAAGAAACTCATTGTGAAATACACAACATAGGATTCACTCTCAAAAACTTTAATTTGTGAATCTAAAATTTCCCAAGAATGACAAGGTTATTATTCAAAAAGTCATCTTTGCTGTTGTCCATGATGAACCATAGATGATGTCCTTCAGAGAAAAGAGATTTGGGTAAAGTCAATCATGTATATAAAGCTATAACACTTTAGGATACATACATGGAAAAATCAATGAGCAGTACTCTCCTACTTAGTGCTATATCATTCCAGCTAAATGCATTTCCTCATGCAACAAGCGGAGAAGCATTGTTGTTTGTATAAAGTAACTTAATTATCACACTATTAATTAATTATATTTTTTTATTTTTTATTTGTGAATTTGTGCTCTGGAAACATTGCAACCTAAACAACAAACATTCATGGCGATGGGCGAGAGAGAGACAGAGAGAGAGAGTTCGCATCTCATGGAAACTTTGATATGTAGTGTTTCTGCCACTACATATCAAAGTTTCCTCCTCACTAGAGGAAGAGGTGTCCAGGCTGCACAGTCCTGACTCGAACCAGTGACCTCTGATACAGGAGGTGGACACGCTGACGAGGAGGCTTATATCCAGGGACTCTAGCCTTGGTCCCCAGTGCGTCTGTTAAGGTTTAGGGGAGTGAGGTCTACTCACTGCACAGCTTTGCTGGCTTCCGTCACACTCACCCCCCTAAACCTCACTCCCATCCAGGTCACGGCACCAATGTATCCAGCTGGTGTTGCCAATGATTAGTCCAGGCATACACATCTGAAGCAGGCTGAGAATGGCTTGAAAACAGATCTGAAGAAACGGGTAACACAGCTCCTCTTTTTTGGTGTCACCAGGTGTCTGTTTAGAGTTTCAATTATGTCAGTGTAGGTCAATGTATTATTTAGCAGCACTTGTGCCTTTTCCTTCTTGCACAGATCCTTGTGCACGGCCTTCAATGTTCGTGTAACATTTGGCATGACATCAAAGCCAGAGCCTGCTGTTTCTGCCCAAAGCATGTCTGTCAGTGTAGTGATGATGGTTTCCATATCATCAGTAGGCAGATTAATGGACATATTTTGATTTATATGCAGGATCACCCAAGACACCATGTACTGGCATCTAAATTTGTCGCACTCTTGGACTGGGTGCGCTGGTTCATCAGTGATTGCAGCTTCCTGGGAGACGATCTTAGTAGCGCTGGTAGTTGCTGTGTTGTGACAAGCACTTTCATCA